AAACAGTTTCATTAAAATTTCATTAAGTAGTATATGAAACAATTTCATAACCATATATGAAACAACTTTATCAAAAAAAAGTATTATATGAAACAGTTTAACAAGATTAAACAATTTCATGAATAAATTTCATAAGATTACGAAGGATGATAGTAGTTTTTACGGTTTTTACAAATTGGAGTGGTTTTCATTTGATCGTTCCTATATATATATATATATATATATATATATATATATATATATATATATAGGTTGGTTATTATACAACCCATGACATTTGTGCAACCAATACAATCCAATCTCAATCGTCCATTTTATTTGATTAATATGTGATTTCATAAAAGTTTTGATTGTTTCATAATATAAAGTATTGATCATAATTAATAAACCATATTCATCTTCCATAAATATTCAAATCATAATATATGAACTCTTATTATTTCCATAAATATCTCAATTTATTGGGTTGCATTGGTTGTACAAATGCAACAGATTGTATTTGAAACAATCTCTCTCTCTCTCTCTCTCTCTCTCTCTATATATATATATATATAGCGATAAAATGCAAACCACCTCTTTTGTGCAAACCATACAAACCAATCCCATCAATCTATTTTCTTGATCAATGGTTATGATTAAAACGTGTTATATTAGGAAAGTAAAAAATAAAATAAAAGGTTTAATATTTAATCAAGAAAGGGCAAAATTGACAAAACATTGTTCGTCTCATTTTTGGAAATTGATTTCATCAACAAAAACATTTTAGAAACTATATCTCATTTTTTCGTCAGTGAAATTTGTTTCATTGTTCGTCTGTATAATGAAATTTGATTCAGATATGGTTCAGTCAATGAAAAATTTTCCAAAAATCTGAATAACACGTTTTCGTTAATGAAATTCGTTTCATCATTGAAATTGGTTTCATGGATTCCACAATTTCAAAAACTGAATGACATTGTTTCAGCAGTGAAAATTGTTTAAATGTTTTCTAAGCAAAATGGAATCGGTTTTATGGTTTCTAACCAAAACGAACTTGGTTTTACATATGAAACTAAATATTGATCAGTCAATGAAATACTTCAAGATCTTAATAATAATATTTCATTCATGTTTAAATTTATTTCATGTTTTCTAATCAAAATGGAATCGGTTTCATGGTTTATAGCCAAGATGAAATTGGTTTTATTAATGAAATCAAATATGGTTCAGTCAGTGAAACATTTCAAGACCTGAATACTATTATTTCATTAATGAAAGTGGTTTCATGATTCATAACCAAGATAAAATTAGTTTCATTTTTGAAACATTTTGAAAACCATATAATGTGGTTTCATTAATGACATTTGTTTTACGAATGAAAACAAAACAATATATGAAACTGTTTCACTGTTTTTTGAATAAATTCATGAGACTCTTTGTCACCTTAAATGAAAGATGAACCATTTGACATGGTGTTGTGAAACATATATGAAATTATTTCATTTATAGTTATTGAAACAGGATTAGACTGTTAATTATTTGTAAATCAAACTGATTTTAGGAGTATAGTATTACAATTTATATTTTACGAGGATAATTTAATAAAAGATTATATAAACTATCAATGATAATAATTATATATTAAAATAAATTGATTTACAGTTTTCATAAAAACAATTACTATATTTAATTTTCCATATTTAAAAACAATTAAAACATTATCAAGATTAACCATTACAAAGTAAAATTACATTCATACCCTTATTCATTAAAAATAAAGAATAAAACATGAAATTTTCTTATTAGTTGAAATTGGTTTTTATAGTTTGTATAAAATTGGCGGTTTACAATCTAACTCCCCCTCTTTCTATGTATATATATATATATATATATATATATATATATATAGTAACATATTATTAGGTTATACTTGTAACTCGTATCGAGATGGGTTTTTCTTAAATCGTTTATTTTCTCAAGATTTACATGCTCAAACAAAATTTGGTGATTAATTTATCAAGCAAGCGTCAAGGACTTGTTCCGAGTACAATTCATGTATGCATGTAGCTAATAACATCTTCATAAGGTAATAAATTGTCACTCCTAACTCGAATCTTGATTTTTATAACTTACTTTTGTACATCTAAATGGTGGAAAACTTCTGGAAATATATATATATATATATATTGAGCAAGCATCGAGCGGTTATCATGTTTTTTTTAGCATGACTTGTGTAGTACTAAAAAGAGCATTATAACTCCATGATATTGCTTGCTAAATCACCAAACTTTCTCAATTGATAAAATTATAAGCAACTTATAAAAAAGAACTTTTATCTAAGCTACAATTGAAAAGTTATAACCTTACAAAGATGTAACTATAGGCATATATGAGTCGTAGTGAAAAAGCACGATAACTCGATCCTGGTCTGTCTCCCAATGTAACATCCCACTCTAAAGGTTAGATGAATATTTAGATGTTTGAAAGTTTGGGTAGAATTGTTTTATAGTGATAATCAAGGGGGTTATAATGTCCTTCCCTCAATCTAGTATTAATATAAATAGGGGTTTTAAAAAGAAAAAAAAGAAGAAGACGAGAATTAGAGAAGGGGGATTGGGAGAAGTCGAGAAGAAGAAGACATCGATGGGAGGCGATTCATCCTTGCTAGTTTTCATCTAATCGTCAAATTAAGGTAGCACGGTGGATAAGCAAGTTGGGCACCGGCGGGATCTCAACTAAATAGGCTAAGGTGAGTTTCAAGTAGATTTTAATGAGGTACACGTCGAACGTAATTACCTTTACATAATTTATTTTGTTTGACGTATTTTAGTGA